AGATGGATCACATGCAAAAAAAAAAAAAAGTTTTTAAATGATAATAAAATCCTATATTATTTGGACTATTAGAGGGGCATAAATTTCAATTAATCAACAATTATGAGAATAAAATGCTAAAATTTATCGCAACCGTACATAAGAGAAATGATATTCCTGCTGGTAAATTAGTAAATAAATAGAATCCATTCATAATGCTAAAGAAAGCTTTAGTTAGGGCTATTGGGATTGACGTTTGATAAGAAAGAACATATTTCTCTCTCCCAATCTTAATCAAACGGTCCATATCATTATTTATCAAGAGAGAGAAAGAGGTCTTCATTGATATGATATGCATCAAGAGATGTCTTTTCTCACGATAGGTCTCATTGGTTTTCTCTCTCTATATTTAACTCTAAGTATTTTCTTTTTATTATTTATTATTTCACATTAAAAAAAATTGTCACTTAGTTTTTTTTTTTTAAAATATTTAGATCAATTAAGTTAAAATTATACATACATTACATACATAAAGATCTCTTAATTGAAAGCTAAAATTTCCCATCAACAAATTAAAATGATTTTTTTTTCAAAATTATAAATTTAATTACTGTATCGACAATTTTCAATAAGTTCTAAATTTTTTAGAATATAAAAGTAATATATATATATATATAGAGAGAGAGAGAGAGGGGGAAGGGAGGTGTAAGTAAATCAAGCTCAGGCTAAATTTCGACTAATTAATAAGGTCACAAGTCGATCTTATAGAGCACAAGTTCAAGCTCGAGGGAGCGTACACAAGATCTCATATATTATACAAACTATAGCTCAAAGGCAACCTAACTAGACTTATAAGCTCATCACGAATTGCTTGATTAGCTTTAAATATATTTAAAAGTTAGTTTTAAATTAGCATTAATAATATACTTTAATATTTTAAATTATTTTTATATTAAAAGTAAAATAAAAAAAAATAAAAAAGTTAATTTAAAACTAATCAATTGGGTTGAAAAATGAGGTCAAATTCGAGCTTTTCAAATGGAGAAATTATTTTTTGCGGAGTTCGGTCTGAAAGAACATTTCAGATTTGTGAGCATACATATTGGATATAAATTTATATAATATGTATCAAATTTTTATACATATTATATACATATAATTTAAGAACTCTGCACAAAAAAATTTATCTTCCAAATGAGCTAGAATAAGGGTACCGGCCCTGGGCCTATATATATATATATTTTATAAATATTTATATAAAAATATTACGGCTACATCATTAAAAATTAAGAATATAATTATATTTTAAAAAATACTTGTATTATATATATCATAATTTTAAAATAATTCTAATTAGAATAGTTTAGTTAGTCCGCCCAAACATATTAATAATATAAAAAATAATTTCTATTTGATGAAATATATATTTTTAATTAAAAGTATTGAATCCAAATTTGTTCGATGAATAATGCCAGACTTTACTTGTAGATATGTCTAGTAAGATAAGAACCTGCTTGTGAAGTTAGAGAGTAGAGAGAATAAAGAGAATAAGTGTAAATTGATATAATCTCCACTATTTAAACCAATAAATATAGGGACAAGGCCACAGATACAGTCTCCAGTCAAAGATGAGAAAAAGATCACAAAAAGGTCCCAACATGTTCCTCATCTCCCTTAAATGCATTATACAAATAGGAATTTATGCATATATCCTAATGTCTACTTATAATCCCACTTTCCCTTATACCTCCACTTGATCTCACATCCATATGAGATGGAGGCATACCTTATTCTCCTTATAAATTCATTTTTACTTATAACTCCACTTGGTTGTCTCACTTTTGTCTAAAAAAGAAGGAATAATACATATTCCAAAATGTATTGCCCATAAAATATAACTTGTACTTGGGCGTGTTTATCTCCCCACATGTAACATCAGTCATATACAATTCAATTTCAAATGAAAACATGATTATGGTATAAACCTGAACATTACAATATGTATAACTATCTTATAACATCTACTTAACTTACTAAAATGGTACATTTATTATAGTTGGAAATATAGAGGTTAAACTTAAACATACTGTTCAACATCAAAAGCATTCATGAGAAATATTCAGAATACCATTTATGTGCTTTTATTTTACCGTGACACATTCCAATTAATATAGTTAACATAAAATTAAAAAAGTACTCCAAATTCATACATTGAAAATCATGTGGTGAAATTTCAAATTCTACGAGTCAAAATATTTAAAATAATGAGTAATACATCATATAGAAAGTTACATGAAGGAAAGTCGGTAAACTCACATAAAATGATTAAAACCCCATAAAGTTTTACTATATTCCAACCAAATTAATTATTGAAATAGAGAAACATAAGACTACCTTAAGCTCTTTAATATCCTTAACTAACCAGGCTGATGAATCGTGCACTATGGCCTCCATAACCCCACTTCTTATCCCTCTCTCCTCTTTTCTCTTCTTCCTTCTCTGGCATGCTAAAGGGGGTGGGGATGTGGAAATGATAAATGGATATATAAACCTATTTTTGTAATCAATGCCACCGTGTTCAGCTAGAATATTTAGATACTCCTAGATAGAGAGCTCAACGCCACAACGCTCTCTTCCAGTACTGTAATGCTCCTTCAAACTTCCTCATTATATAGAGAGTGAAGCACCACAAAATGTAGCGCCACCCTTCTCCCACGTACATTTTCTCCTCCCAAACATAGAATAGAAGTAAATGCCTCAACGTTGACATAAAAAATTTTCTTATTTAAATTTAAGACTTTTCATTTCAACTCTAAACTCATTAATTATAATATTAAAATGTACATAAATATATCAAAATCTTACCAAGCTCAGTAGTAACAGATATCATAATAATTAAGATTATCAAGAGATGATTTAACCTGTGGAATTTGAAAAGAATAGGATGAAAGCATGCCTTTTATCTTATTTGCATTTATTAGGGCTAAACAAAGTTCAATAAATTAATCTCTATATGAGGCATGACTAGTATATTTACCTAAAATTCTTTTGAACTGAGAGTTTTAAATAAAATCAATATCCCAATATAACATATAAGAACATATCAATAGAGTCTAAAGATTCGTGAAAGGAATTTTAAAAATTCACGATGATCCATACAAAACTCACAAAAGTACTCATAGTAATGCTACAAGTGTTTACATTATCTCCAAGGAGAAGGAAAGGAATTTAAAAATGATGATTTTGGTTGGCTCCATATTAGTGAAATGATATTGAAAGATGAATGTCAGATGATCAAGTTAATCATGTATGAATCATACAATGTTTTGAAGATGATCAATGACAACATGCACAAATTGGCTCCACCCTCATCTTCAAAGAGATGTACTATATAATTAATGTAAAACTTTAGGATCATTTGAACATTTATTATTATTTCCTAGTATTATTAATATTAATATCATTCCCTATCATTATAAAGGGATGCCATGAGTTACCTATAAAGGAAGGATCAAAGAGAGACTTCTAGCGGGGATTGGGAATTTAGAGGAAGAGATTTATTGAAAAAAGGGCTACATGAGGAGTTGGATAATTGGAAAGGGAGAGGAAATTTCAATGAAGCATCATCTTATTCTATGATTTTCCAATTCTTCTTATGAATAAAATTTTATTTATTTATTGTGTTGAAAAATAAGAATCCATATTAATAACCTCACTCTATACCATCATGTTATAATATGTTAACCTAATCATATTTTGATATCTTGATGCTTAATCTAATTTTAGCTTGAAAATCGTTATATTACTATATGTTATGGTGTGAATTGAAATGTTATCTTGCTGGAGAGCAATGTGATGAGCTTTTCTTACATTATAGTAATGTGAAAGTAGTAGGAGGGAGCTCTACAACGGTGTATATGGGAAATTAAAAGAACTTGCTTAATTTATAAGCATATGATATGATATTACATATGACATATTGTTTTGACAAGGCGTTGTTCATATGATAAATAACATGTTATATGCTAGCATTAATGATAATTTATACATACTTATATTCTATATGAACTATAAATTGTGATACCATTATAATTTTTATGTGTCATGATTCTAAATGCAAATATTTACAATCATATTTGACAAATGAAGTATGATGTAACATAATATAATCTTATTATATGACTTGTGATGATTTTCTAAGTATATGATAAATTCTCCACCTATATAAATTTGTGAGAAATTACATATATAACATCAATACATAATCATGCATGTTGTCCAACATATACCATACTTTTATACTAGAACTTTGATTTATTTTTTACTAAGTCTTATACTAACCATTGCATTAACATATATGTGTTGCTTTCATGTAAGGGTAAAGTTATTAGTGAGGAATAGAGCTATAAACAAAGTTGATCTTTTATATATATATATATATATATATGAGACACTAAATACCATATATATATATATATATGAGACACTAAATACCAAAGAAGAAAATAGATGATTGCCAAAAATCCTAATAGGTCTTCATAAGAGCCAACAATGAAAATAAGAGGGAGTACTTATTAAATAATCATATAAAAAAAAAGAAAATAAGAGGGAGTATATATTTATGGGAACTTATAAACTACTATCATTAAATATGGATAGTGACATTATTTCATATTAATTCATGTAAAAATATAACATTAATTTATTTAAGTGTTCTTATACTTTTTTCAAAGTTAAGAAATCTGAATCCAAATTAAAAAAAAAAACAATTTGAAGGCCAAGGCCAAGGATAAATATGGAGGAAAAACGCCATTGCCTTCCCTTCTCTTTTCTTGGAAAGAAAACTCTCCTCACCAAACCCCAAAAACACATTTCCCATCATCTCCCACAGCCCAATACCCCACCTCCCATCATTTTCAGTTAGACAGGTTTGAAGTGTAGGAAAGCGATGGGTACACCCAAACTAAAGTGAGAACATCATGAAAGATTTGTGACATCTCCCACATTCCCATGCTACACACTGCCCCACACTCCCCCTTCTTTCTCCCTCTTCTCCTTCTTCTCTCTCTTCTCACATTGCGCTCTGTCTCTATTGCTTCTCTTATCAATCATGTTGTAACAGTCACCCTCCCATGATATTACATCACCTCTACAGTACTCCCAACACATCTCAAAGAGCTGCCTTTAGCTACAGCCTTTTGGATATTTTGGGGGCAGTCCCTTCTCTTCAAAAGGATAGTTTTCATGTTTCTTTGCACTTCCTTCTTTCTCCCGTTTCTTTCCCTTTCTAACAGTGATTTCACCCCTACCATCTCTTCCTGTTTGTTGGCACAGTGGTTGTTCGACGTGAAAGCACCCATCTTTTCCTTGTCCATCACACACTCACATCTGCTTTCTCACTCACCGTGTTCATTGCCTTCTTGACTCTCTCTCTCCCTCTCTCCCTCTCTCCCTCTCTCTCTCTCCTCCTGCTATCTTATCAAGAACAGGGTGTGGAGGTAAGGAGTTTATTGAGTTGTTGAGCTATTCTTTGTTCTGCTATTGTTTTTGCTTGGTGAGGAATGGGATCGTTGGGTGGAGGGGAAGCTGTGAGGAGGAGAAAGGCAATGTGGCTCTACCCGAAGGTGATAGGATTTAACCCTCCTGAGAGATGGGGGCACTCTGCTTGTTTCTCTGATGGCGTCCTCTATGTTTTCGGGGTAAGTAAGTTTGTGCCACTGACATGATTTTATTTCCCTCTTGCTCCTCTTTTATGGTGCTTTTTATTTTCCTGGATCGAAGCAGTTCATATATGTTCTTCTTCCTGCTAAAGAAATCAACTTTCTTGTCTTTGAGATGTGAGTTCTATTTCTCTTTATATCTTGGCTACTTTCTGCTTTACCAATTTGTTTTAACTTAATACTTTTTCGTCCCCCTTATTCTAACTGTGACATGAAATTCTTTGAAGTAATCAATTAGCTTGATTTGTAAGAACCTCCTCTCAGTTATATCTCTACAATCATATTGTAAAAAAGGCTTCTTGCTCTTTTTTTTTCATTAGATGTAGGATTTATCTACTTAATTTAGTCATTTTTCCCAATGTTTCAAGGGTAATACCTCACCTTGCTCAGGTATTTTTTAGTCTTATTTAGATGTTTCAAGCTTTGATTGCCATCTTATGAAACCTGCACCTCCCTATCTGGTGTTATGAACTCATCAAGAGCAGCTTCCTTTGTAGTGAGCTAACCAGTTGTTTGATTAGCTTCAGAACATGTTTGTGATATAAAAACCTCTCTGTTGTTTGATGAGAGCTTGACAGAGTCCTCTATAATTTCCTAAAGTTTTTCTTTATGGCTTCTTTTTTTAACAAATTTTCTGAAGAATGAGCACATTAAGTAGCTTATTATTGTCTTAATAGATTGTTTTTCTTGAATGCATTTATCTTCTTTCCATAGGGATGCTGTGGTGGATTGCATTTCAGTGATGTGCTTACTCTTAATCTTGATACAATGATCTGGAGCTCTCTTGCCACCACCGGCCACAAACCGGGCACTCGAGATAGTCACAGCGCAGTGATTATAGGCCAAAGAATGGTTGTCTTAGGAGGCACAAATGGTGCAAAGAAGGTAAATGATCTTCACATCTTGGATCTTCGGATGAAAGAATGGAGCAAACCTACTTGCAATGGTACTCCGCCTTCTCCACGAGAAAGCCACACAGCCACTCTTATTGGTGAAGATAGGCTAGTAATATTTGGAGGCAGTGGAGAAGGTGAAGCTAACTATTTGAGTGATGTTCATTTTCTGGACCTCAGTACCATGACTTGGACTTCGCCGGAGGTGAAAGGAGATCCTCCGGCCCCTAGAGATAGCCATACTGCAGTTGCCATTGGCAATAAACTTCTAATATATGGTGGTGATTGCGGCGATCGTTATCACGGTGAAGTTGATGTTCTGGACACCGACGCCATGTCTTGGTCAAGGGTATGAATTTTCACTCATTTTTTCATTATAAGCTTCACCGTAAGTCCATTAGTGTTTACTAACATCTGTATTTGATACTGTCAGTTGATGGTTCAGGGATCTTCTCCTGGAGTTAGAGCTGGTCATGCTACTGTTACTATAGGGACAAAGGCAAGTCTCTAATTGAATGAGTTGAAGTAAAGGTAGACAAGGTTTCCATTTATGGAATAATCTTCATTAGTATCCTTATGTATGAGGCTTTGTTATTCATAGGTTTACATTATTGGTGGAGTTGGTGATAAGCAATATTACAGTGATGTTTGGGTTCTTGATGTGGCCACCTGTGCTTGGACTCAACTCGACATTCGCGGCCAACAGCCGCAGGGGCGGTTCTCTCATACTGCCGTGGTTGCTAATGCTGATATCGCTATTTATGGAGGGTTGGTTTTAAAGCCCAATATCTACCATTTTACTAAAAAATGGCGTAGATTATGAAATAAAATCATCTAAAAAATAATTGATTTTGGATTTGCAGTTGCGGAGAAGATGAGCGCCCGCTCAATGAACTCTTGATACTGCAATTAGGATCAGAGCATCCCAATGGTCGTTACAACGTGTCGATGTGCAAGATTTTCGGTAACCATTGGAGCCAAGAGAAGAAGAAATTTTTAAGAGCAGATAATCAGGTAAGCAGAAATAGCATTACATGATGTATATCTAGTATTATATCACAACATTGACGGTTAAAATTTTACTATGATTCAGCAAAATGTGATTTTGAATAATGGAGACTTAAACCGGAAGCCTCCTGAGGTGGATATTGAACAAAAGAGTGCTATTTTTCGCAGCCCAGGTTAGACCTGATCCATATACTGAAATTATTACATTTCTAAACTCTTTGAAAAAATTATGTTTTCTTATTGCCTTTTGATCAGATAACTTGCGAGCGAAAAGGAGGAGAGCCGATGATTCAAAAGTATTGGATATTGAATCAGAGCAGGAGGAACATTCTCTTTCACTCTCCCAACACTCTTCACCATCTCAATCAGACCAAGAACAGAATACATCACAGAAGCTCTCTTCCTGTAACAAAGGCCACAAGATACTGCCATTGCAACCGCATTTTGCTCATTTCAAGTGGAAAGAAAGGGCTTGCCAAGATGCACATGGTGTGAGCAGAGAAGCTGGAAGAAAGACTAAAACTGAGCAGTTTCTTCGCGCGGTTGTCCCTCCAAAGCACGAAATGCAGTTCTTGACATCTGATCAGAAATTTCCGCCTGTGAGGCCTGCCATTCCTCCCCTGGTGAGTCTATTTTTGAACAGTATTCTTCATTCGATAAAACGGGTAAATGATGATCGAAAAACTCCATTGATTAGTGTTTTTTCTTTTTAAACTTGTGTAGTTTGGGGCTGAGGTTCATGGTACAGTAGATGGAGCTTTTGATTCTGGCTACCTGATGACTGCCAATGTTAAAGGTCAAATATTCAGAGGTGTCTTGTTTGCTCCAGTAAGCTTGAATGCAATACTTATTCCATCTTATTTAGAGAATTTCTCCCAATGTTCTTATGGATATTATAGCATTACTAAGTAGAACAAGAACAAGAAATGCTTAAGCTCTGTTTGACTTTGATTTGTTTTTGCTTTTTATTTTTCATAATGAAAAAATAAATAAAAACATATTTGATATGTTATAGAGAACCAACAAAAAACCTTTTTTTTTTGGAGCTAAGATGAAGCATTAGATCTTATATATTTTATCTACATAATAAACTAATGATCAAAGATGAATAAGTAGCATGTAATAGTAATTTTAATTGATATACCATAAAAAAAATATGATTTTACTTGTAGATATAGTAATCTTGATATTAAATGTGAAAAGAGAGAGTAAACATGATAGTATTTGAAATCATCATAGGATTATACGGGTGGATACACACAAACGAGAATAATGTTTCAAGAGGATAAAAAGATACAATAGTGGAGAAAGAAAATAAAAGTTTTGAGTTTTATTGTATTGATAAGCAATTGCAATGGGGACGATAAGTTTGCCTAGTGGTTGATGTTACTCAGAAGAAAAGGTCTTGACACTAGAATGGGAAAAGTATAGGCGAGTAGTGCAAGGTGCTAGCCATTTCATATACACCAACTTTAGCTTGCTCGTCAAAAGGAGTGTCCTAAGCGTAAATCTTTGACATAAAAAATTGTCGGTAGGAATTTGATAGATACATGATCATGCCAAAAAAAATTGATACGTGTAATTAAGGGTCTTTTTCATGCTAGGTACACAAAGAATATATTGAAGAAAAAAATTATGAGGGGAAGTAGCAAAGAAGGTGATCACAATAATAACATCATCAATGGCATCATATGAAGTGCGAGATAAAAAGACCATTGTCTAGCAAATAGGTGAGAGTGATTAGAGTATTGTTAGCATTGTAGTGGGTGCATGGTTGACATTAGGTAAGTGGACAAGATCTCTAAGAGCAAGGCTTTGGTTGAGCATAAGCCAATGGTGAGTTAGGAGGAAACTAATCAAAAGACACGAAACTGTTTGACTTTATGACCTCGAATGTTACATGCTTGACAATAGTCATGATAGAGGTGACGAGGTGTGTGTTAACAAGTAGACTAAATATGTCATCATTATTGATTGGAATAGTCAACAAAGAGGAGGTGCGGGATTTGCGATAATGCATATTTGAAATTTAGGCGCACAACAATCCTTGTGTGAAACCAAGCAGACCGGTGATGAGAAGGGGGAGAATCAAAAGTGTGGAGAGGGGGAATTGGATCAAAGCTTTGGTATCATATAGAATATATTTATACACATCTTCCCTTTTTGAGGCAACATAGTTACAATATGATGAAAGGTTTAATATATATAGATTACAACAGTCCTATCATAAATCAAAGTTAGATCAATATTTGTGATAGTTTGGTAAATTTAAGGACCGCTCATTTGAAATTTTGAACATAATCTTTTGAAATTAACATCTAATAGGATGAAATCCTCGAAAGAGTTAATAGAATAGAATAGAATAGCACACGAATAATACTTAATATTCGAGTGTTATAAAATACATAACACCAATGAAAACAAAACTAAAAAAAACAGAAAAAAAAAAACTTGAATCAAATCATGAAATTCATCTTCTTCTGCTCCTCCCTGCTTGCTCATTCCAAGATCCTAAACATCCATTTTGTATTCAATACAGGGTCCAAGTGTAGTAGCAGTTCCAAGACAACAAACACATTCTCAAAGCCCAGCAACTGCTCCACAGCAATCCACAGCTCCAGCTCAATCCATCCCCATCCATGTCAGGCCACCACAGAAGACCAGTTTCTTATTCCAAGAAGGCGGTCACCATGCCGGCCACCCCGACCCTGTCCATGTCTTGAAGGCCCAGCCGGCGAGGCTGAACAGTGACCTCCAAGGTGTAGTTCTCTCCCTTGGAGGGCCTGGTGGTGGGGGAAGTAGTCATGGAGCAACATAGAAAATGAAGAGATGTAGCTACGATCAAGCCTAGGCCTTCTCTTCTTTTATGTTTTTTGAAGTTCTGACATGTTAAGTGTAGATGATTTATGGTGATTTTAGCTTAAGCTGTTGTATTTGAAGTTGGTTTTGATCTTTATATAGATATATAAATATGGTTAGTATGAGTATTTCATTTGTGTGAAATACTGAGTATAATCAATAATAGTTTGTTTTGGGGTAATTGTGGGGTTTTTATTGGTACTAATTTAAGCTATTATGTTCATAGAACAATTGCTAGTCTCTGTTGTTTTCTTTCAGAGCTAGGATTGAATTCACACATTATTATTATTTTTTTAATTATTGTATTTTCATTGCTTATTTTCATAAATATAATTTTTTGTGTCTCAATTTTAAAGGGAGAAAAAATGTAGAATATTATCAAAACGGTTGGCACTATGGAATTATTCTATATGGATACGGACGGCGTCCGGAAGTGAATCAAAACGTGTAACGCTATTTTTTTTTTTCTTAGTATCACGGATGTGTACTGCTATATACTGGGTGATGTAGCACGTTTTGATTCGTTTCTGGACAGTCCGATGTCCGCAGAATAATTTTTCGCAAATTTGGGACTTTTGTTGGGCTTGACGTGTGTTAATAAGAAATTCCTTTCGGCAATTGACTCTATTATTATTGAGCAAAGTATATGTAGAAGATAAGGTAAAATTGATTATGTGATGAAGGCATTGATAATATTTTTGTAATGACCTTAATTTTATGATTTTTATAATATAAAGTTTTTCATTTCAAAAAACAGAAGCTAATGTTACTAGTTTTTAAGTATGCTTGATGATTTTCAGTAGTAAAATGTACGGAAAATAGAACTTTTGTAGATAAATATTTGTGTATAATATTGGATAATATATTAAAATATATTTTATATGCAATTAGATATCTGATTTGATCAAGCATGAATTTTAGATTTTAAAGCACTTCAATATTTGTGCTAGAAGTATTAAAATTTAATTTCTAAGATCATTTGAATTTTATTTTTGATTAATTTATAGGCAAGATGACATGATTCAATGAGATGAACCAAATGATATCATGAACACATGACTTCAAGTTCAATGAGTCTAAATGATTTGCAAATGGCAACTTTTAAAGCCATTCAATGGATCAAATGTTCTTTAAATTTAGTATGTTATATTTCTAAGGAGGGCTTTAATGAGATGAATTTAACATGTAAAAAATGCTTAGTTTTCCTTAGATTTTTCAAAAACATATAGTATATCTATAGGCAATAAATTCAATCCATCTAATAGAGTGTTTAGATTTTAATCATAAATAATTAGAATGGCCTTTCAAGAAATTCATAAATATGTAATATTTCTACAAATGTAGGAAGAGATTTTTGATGAAAATATTTCTAAAATAAAGAATATAAAAACTCTTTGCATGTAAATGTTGAACATCAATCACAAACCAACATCAATACCAATCATCATCATTCTTTGATGTTAGGCACCAACCAACATCGATATCCATTATCACCACCATTCAATGCTAGTTGTTGATCAAGATCAACACACATCATCATCACTATAAGATGACAATCATAATCATCATTATTGTCAGTTGAATGTCAATCTAATCACTTCGCAACCCTTATATAAGGGGAAAATTATTGCATCTAGTCACCGGACGCGAAGATAGGTCTGGATATTAATAAAATATTATTTTAAATTTAATGTTCAAAAGCGCAGGTAAATAGCAGGTCAAAGCGCAGTCAAAAACACAGGTAAAGCGCAGTCAAAGCGCAACTAAAGGGCAAGTCAAAAGCGCAGTCAAAAGCGCAGGTGACGTGGCAAATTTTTATTAGACGTCCTAACCTATTCTCCGCGTCCGGTGACCTGATGCAATAATTTGCGGCCCAAATCAAGAGAATAACCAATGCAACCACCAAGTATTGCGTCTCATCCAACATTCCCCATCTACCATCATTATACATCTACCGTCATTATATGCCTACTAATAATCGATGCTTGTTGTTTATTAGCTATAAACCCTTGATTCCAACATTCAAATCGACCTATTTCTCTCTTATTAGACAACAATCAAGTTGATTGTAATTTGCCTCATAGCTTTTGATGTTTTTGACGACTATTAATTTGTTATTACACCCACTAATGATCACCATTCATCTAAAAACTCCATTTTCCCTACCATCCAACCTATATGACCAAATTTACAACTCATCATCATCCAATGATAACTATGACCAACAAGACTAGAAAAAAAAAAAAAAAAAAAACCAAGTTTGAACGAACTTAAGCATTGTTTGGTTCAGTTTGTCAAGCGAACATGCAAAATTTTTTTGTTGTGTTTTGCTCATTAACTTATCGAACCGAGCAAGAGTTACATATATATTGTCACATATATGTGCATACATTCACACTAATATAAATGTATGGACATAAAAATACACAATCTATAAATATATAAGCACACATATACATGCGCAAACATGCATATATGTGCATAACTTTATGTGAACAAGCATTATCGAGCTACTAATATGATTGAACAGAGCCTTATTCACATTTGATTAAGTCGGATAAACAAGAGGTCATGTTGAGCATAAAATATTTACAAAACTTTACTAATCATAAAATATCACAGGGTGAAATATGACTACATGTTACAGAGCAAGTTTAGGACATCATAATACTTTTGTTTTCTTCTATTGCAATGGCTCTATTGATTGCAATATAGGCAACATATAGATAAATTATTTATATAACTCTCTAATGTCTAAATCATATAAAATATATCACTACATTGGCCAAAGTGAAATACTCTTATATGATTTAGACATTAAAATATTATATAAATAAAAATAACATTTAGATGTGATATGTAGATTCTTTTATTTTTACTCTACCCAGCAACTTAGAAGAAGATGCATCAGGCACACGAGACGTGTGATGGTAGCAGCGAAGCTAAGAAGTTTCGAATAAATCATATCTGCTTTGACAGAAGATCTTCACAAAGGCCTATAGTTGAATTCTTGTAAGCTTCCTCAGATGGAATGAGATCAGGAGACACATTGGCTACTTTTGCTTTCACATATGTTTGGGATTGCTGCGTTAAACCCAACCAGTTTTTGATTAGTTTCAGCACAGTTTCGCTTCTCAACAATGCCCGGTGTTCACCTTTTACAGCTACTCTAGCTTTTGCATTAAATCCATCAGCCTATAACAACAAAACAAAAGGACAAATTTTTTTTTTTAGTTGAAAGTGCCAAAAGTAAGAGAAAACAGGAAATCTGGACACCGTAATGAACTAAAAAAGATTAAGAAAGATATTAGGTTCAGTTTACGTGAAGAAAGCTTCCTCAGGTGATAGATTAAGGTTTCGTTTGGGACGGCTTTCTTTCTGTTTTTTAAATTAGCTTTCTAGTACAAAAATTAAAAATTTAGTGCTAAAAAATTGCTTTAAGAAACAGAAAGAAAGCAGCCCCAAACAAAGCCCTTGAGACGGCTTTCTTATGGCTTCTTAAAGCAGCTTTTCTGCACAAAAATTTAATTTTTTGTACTAAAAAGTTGCTTTAAGAAGCAGTAAGAAAGCTGTCCCAAACAAAGCCTAAATATCTATGAAGAAAATTGTGAGATACCAAAACCAAATTTTCTGAAATAAAACTTCCCTACTTCCAGAAAGCTGAAAAAGTCTACATTTCAAACCGAAGGCATCGTTAGCAAATAAAAGATGATAGAAACCATTCTACAATGTATGAAAACATGGTAAACGGAACTATCCAAATCCTAGTTATATGTAGGTAGAATGTTTGTAGATGAACTGTCATATAAGACAAATAAATGAAAAGGCTACATCCAATTGGCATGATTATCAAAAGCCTTTGAAATGATTGTTACAAACTAGAATATTCATGAAGGCAAATAAGATGAGTTTATCATTTTAGACATAAATGAAAATCTAACACAGAGATGAATAGCCTATAAAATATAAGAGACTAGATATTTTCTGTGTAAAATCTAGAGAGAATATTATATGATATAGTTTAATTAAAACAATTAATTCACTATGTTGACTAAAGATGAGATGCTCGACCCTTCTCTGCTTCTGGGGTGGTGGAACTTAGCAATCCTCAGTAATGTATATTATCTCTTCCAAAAATGATAGAGAATATCAGGGGTAAAAAATATTCATAGGTATTGGCCGACAACAATGGCAAGCACTGGTGTTGGATACTGAATGATGATAAACATTGACAATCAGGTAATGATTGTCGTCAAATTTCGAGTGCTAGAAGGTGGTCAGTACAGTGTTCCTAGCAGTAGAAAAAATCAAACAAGGAAAGGCAGAGAAATCTAGACAAAAGAAATCCTAAAGGCAACCAATTGAGGGTCCAAACGACAAAATCTAGAATTCTCTAAACCTAAGAGTTCACTCCTTCCACAGATCTTCACAAGTGTGTAAGATCATGACTTTTATAGTATCTTAGAGAGGGAATTTTGCTCATTTCCGTCAAAGATCTGAATCCATCGAAAGGTTTGAATTGATCTCCTTTAGCCATGATACATTTTAAGACATCTTAAAGCTATAATGAACTCAAAATTGAGCAATCTTGGATTCATTGGATTATCTCGTTGAATCTCAACCATAAACATGCAAATTTTGAAGGACATTTATAACTTCAAGATATTTTCAATTATGCTTATAAGTGCTTGATTTATCTCCACTTGGAGTCAAATCTAAGTTTTTGTGGTTTCGTTTGGTCAGCCTTGCCAACTCACGCTATTTTAACTATAAGTTCACTAAAAGTAGAATTTGGAATATCTCAAAAATAACACTCAAAGTTTTAGCCCCTAAATTTTATGTACTTTGAGATTAAAACATTATGTTAAAATTCAAAGTTAATTAAATGAACTTTTTTATGGTAAATCAATTACCTCTATTTTAGACATTAAAATTTGTGAGCCAAAAAATTCTATGGGAGGGGCTTGGGCCATCAGGTAGCAATGTGATCCCATACACCACGTAATTATCCACACAATACATATAGGCACCATTTACCCTAAATTTTGTAGCTTTTCCTTCTTTTATTTTGTAGGCATAAATGGAAATGCTAGGAAATTGCCTATGTCCATGCATCCATTTGGAGGCCCAACTAAGGATTCATGAACACAAATGCTGGAAGCTTACACACAAATGTTTCAACTTCAACTAAGCATGCATTTGACATGGTTGGCCACCCCTTTATATTCTATATCTTTTTGTATCCCAACAGTGACTCTTTATATTCCTATTGACTCTTAATCTTCCTTTTGGTTCATCTATGTTGCACCGATACGGATACGGCGACACGGATACGACACGATACGGATACAGGACACGTCAATTCTTAAAAATACAGGATATAGGTACGGCGCGGATACGGCATCATAATTTATAAATCATACATAAAAATTAAGAAAGCAATCAAAGCATAATATTTGAAATTACAAAAAAAAATGACAACAACATCATTTGTAGCCTTGTAGCTTATAATATCAAAATATAAGTAAGCATTAAATGTCTAGTACAACAACAAAAGCATAAACATAAATTATCTAGCACATGAAGTTTCAACTATTCAATAGCAACTTGCATTAATGAGCTCATTTTTTGCTCTTCTATTTAAGCTATGACATGACACTTTTAAGTGTCTTTGGAAGCCATTGTAGCTTCGTTCTTGTGGTGGAAACTTGAAGATAAAGCTTGAAAGGGAGTGAGGAACGGGTGAAGTCTGGGAGAGGGAGAAGATCTTGTGAGGGGGGGACTCAAGGGAGTGTGGAGGGGGATTCCACACGGTTGCTCCAGCAGGCTTGCATCTTAATACCGTCGGATTTAAGGCTTGTCTCGAGGGAAGTTAACCAAAGAAGAAGATCTCTTTGGTGTCAAAGGACCCGGTGACTCCGCCGCACCGGGGAAGGTGGAAGTGATTTTGTAAGGGCTTCTTCGCCTAGCTGTGGGGGATAAAGGAGAGACACATGTTTTAGTACAATACTTGGAGGGTGCCTCCAAGGAGTGGATATAGGTCAAGGTTTGATCGAACCACTATAAATCCGATGTGTTCTTTCTTATTATTTGCTTTCGCATTTAATTTCCACATTTGTTTTATTTGTGGTGATTTTGGTTTGTACTTTGCTTAAAGTTTCTTATTTACCAATTCACCACTCTCTTTATTTAACCTTGGGCCAGTTCTATAGGGCTTAACATCCCTAACAAACTTTTTAGTGTCATCTAATTACTTTTAGAGAAGCCCCTACAAAATCAGTTCCACCTTCCCCGGTGCGGCGAAAAAGTCGGGTCCTTTGACACCAAAGAGATCTTCTTCTTCACAAAACTTCCCTCAAGACGAGCCTTGAATCTGATGGTACTAGGGTGCAAGCTTGTCGGAGCAACCATGTGAAACCCCTCCATACTCCCTTGAAACCACCTCCAAGGATCTCCTCCCTTTCTCAAACTCCACCCTTTTCTCTCTCCCTTTCAAGCTCTCTCTTCAAGTGTTTTGCAGAAGAAATGAAGCCTCAATGGCTGCCAAAGACCCTTTTAATGTCTTTTATAAAGCTTAAATAGAAGAGCTCCAAAAAGGCTCTTAAATGCAACAAATTGACATTATCATCAAGGACAATCACCGGATCATCTAGTACAATGTGCTTAAAAAGAGGGCTTCAGAAAACCCTAAAAACTCAATTTTGGTGCCACATATCATCCAGGATGATCGAAGGATCGTCCCGTACGATGTGCTTAAAAAGAGGACTTTAAAAAACACTAAAAACTCAATTCCAGTGCCAAAAATTGTCCTAGACGGTCGCAGGATCATCCAGTACGATGCGCAAAATTTGACCTGATAGTTCCGGATGATATTAGGATAGTCCAGAACGATCAGTGCAAAATTATACATAACGCCCAGGATGATATTGAGGATCGTCCGAGATGATTATAAGAAAAATTATGGTATTTTGTCTTGGACGATTTAGGAAAATTAATTATATCGGCAAACATCGTCCTGTATGATATATAGATCATCCAGGATGATTGGATTGAAAATTTTAACCATAATTAATCTCCTAATCATATGATCAATTTAGGCATGATTTTTATTGATCGTCCTGGACGATCAAGATCGTCTAGGATGATTAGAACAAAAAATAAATCTTAAAATCTTTCCTAAATTAGCATTGGAGGCTATTTCCAAGATCATAAAGGATCGTCCTGGACGATTCAAAATCATCCAGTACAATTAGTTCAAAACTTGATCTTCTAGATTTGACAAGATCTCATTCCCATGAGTGTGTGTGTGTATATGGTCACCAAGCATGCATACTCCCTTACAGAATTTGACTCAAGAAATAAAAAATTACATTAATGAATATTACATAACCTTTATAACGTAACATTATTCAACCCAATCTTGAGCTCCGATTCTTTGTTTAATGTTGCACGGTATTCCTGAAATGTTAGTATACACACATACAAATATAGAATAAAAAATACTATGAGATATAAAAATATTTATTATCATTAAAAAAAAAAAACTCGTGAGCTCGAGTCACAACATTATTAAGTTTACGATTGCTGAATTTTTAATAATTTATTGAATTTTCATATTTATTCAAAATTTAATTAAGTTTGACAATTTTTTTTTAATTTACATTAAAATCTAAAAGTTTTATGTTTCTATAAACTAGTCCCAATGATGAGTCCAATTCCTTTGAGTGTTTCATTTGGAGTTTTCATTAATTAGTTGTGATTTTTATAAGTTCAACCTTTTTAATGAATTAAATTTAAACAAATTTTGACATTCTAATTTACATTAAAATTGATTTTTTAAAATTTTTTGTAAATATTAAACCCAATTATGAGTTCAATTCCTTGGATTTTGTATCTATTAGAGTTTTATAGAAATATTTATGCTTTTTATAAGTTTAGCTCATTAATGTATTTTAATTAATTCAAATAATTAGAGGATTTTAATTTTTATTTTTCAAATCAATTCCAAACCTCTTTAAATACTTCCCAATTTTCACTAATGGCTGTTAGGGATAATTAAAAGTGTTTGAAATGATTTTGGAATTTAAATAATTTTTTAATTTTCTATTATTTAATTAATGAATTTTCTTAATTTTTAATTTTTTTTATTTAATTTCAAATGGCTTTTCATTTTTCTCTCTTAAGCATTTAATTTA